ACAATAAATTTTTAATCTATTTCAATCTGATTTGAGCCTTAATCGTTTTGTACATGGATGCGAATGGGGTGGAAAAGTGTTTTTGTTTATTGTTTTATAATGGTGAGAGTTATAACTTTTCTTCGTAGATTTTTAATTCTTTATAAAGATGATAACTAGCTAACTAATGCGATATTGTTTCTCGGCACAACAGGAACTAAGGCAGCAACTAAAAAGACTATTGAAAAAATTCTTGTTTTGCTAAGAAGGTTGACATATTCGACATAATTTAATTCTCTTCTTTTGTTTAATTCAATTTAATTTAAAATTTATATGAATTTAATTTGATTTGATATTATAGTTGATTTATTTAAATTTAAAATTTAGAAATTGTGACGTTTCGTATTTCGATAAGATACTTCATCAAACATGAATGTTTTAAGACAAATGATATGTACATACAAACGAGTTTTTCTTTTCTTTTAGTATTAGTCATACTTTTGATAGTGATACGGAAAACAAGACGGTAATAGTAATAGCTAGCTAAGGATTGAATCCTTTTCCGTGTCACTATCAAAAGTATGACTAATACTAAAAGAAAAGAAAAACTCGTTTGTATGTACATGTCATTTGTCTTAAAATTTTTATGTCTGATGAAGTATCTTATCGAGATACGAAACGTCACAATTTCTAAATTTTAAATTTAAATAAATAAACTAGAATATCAAATCAAATTAAATTGATTTAAATTTTAAATTAAATTAAACAAAAGAAAAGAATTAAATTATGTCAAAAAAAAACTATTCAAAAAAGCAATAGAAAAATAATTTAAGAAGAAATAAAACTGTTCAGGAGCATTAGGTGTTTTTTACCTTGATTCTTTGAAAGAAGATCAGAACAGAGGCTTGATTAAGTTGATGGTGAGGTTTTGGTTGGTTCTAAGTATGACATTTCTGTGTATAATCCTGGTTTATCTTTAGTATCGCTTGAACTCTTAGATAAAATTCTAACAAAAGATGAACTTTCATCAAAACTATTTTTGCACTGTTTTTAATTTGGAAAGAAAAATATATTCTGATTTTGTTAAACTGGTATCATTATTCAAAAGAAGAATGCTATTCAAGTATTTAAAATTCAAAAGTTATTTTAAATAGATGTTCTCAAAAAACCATTCAATTGTATTATCTTGAGAACAAAGAATTTGATGTCAATATAGATGCTAACGAAACCCGATAAATATCTCATTGACCACGAATCAGCAGTAGTGAAAATATGGACTGATTTTCTAAAAACACGTCTTGTGTCAGAAGAATATGAAAAGTAAACAATAATAGAAAACTTTTATATCTTATCGAGCCTATCCAAGCCTTGATTTGTGCTATTTTAAGCCTATCCTCCTTCAATCTAGGATAGGCTTAAGTCTACTCAAGCCTTATGGTTCCACCGCCTATGACGAGTTGGTATTGGTAGTAAAGAAAATATGGACTGACCTTTTAACAATGTGTCATCTGTCAGCAATATATAAAAAAAATGCAACAATAAAAAACCTTTTACATTTAATACAGCCTACCCAATACTTAATCTGTCCTACTATGAGCCAACCCAAGCCTTTATCTGTTCTAGTTTGTCTCTACCCAGTCTACCCCATTTCTGTCTATGGTAGGCTTGAGCCTCCCAAGCCTTATGACTCCGCCACCTATGTCGCTATCGTTAAGTCTTGAACATTGTCAACAAAAATCTTGCATAATAATATTAAATGTATGATTGAATGATTGAATGAGAAGAACAGACCTAACATTAATATTTATTATCTCAAATATCAAAGAAATGTAGCATTGATATCGAGTGAATTTTGGTGAATTATCCCATAAAGAAAAAAAGTGATTTTAATTTTTGTTATATTTGAATCAATATATTTGGTTACAATGATTATTTCGCATTCACTTTTGAATAATAAAGTTTTATTTCAACAATTAATTTATTCATACATAAAAATCATTCTTCGTATTTCGATTTATTCTTTAAATATTTTACATATGAATCTAATGGGAAAAAGTTTTGAATAATATCTATTGAATCATGAGGTGACTCGGTCGTTCTTAATGTTTCAATTTTTGAACAATTATCTTTTGCTTGTTGATTATCTTCAGCAATTACTGCCAATAATAGATCATGACGAATAGCGAGTTCGACTAGACATGGAAGACGAGCACGAAAAAGAAGTTGTTCAACATAATCCATGTGAACGTCATATAAAATAAGTGTAATTAAATGAGCAAACCCAAGTTTATTTGTTGTTTTTTCTTGTTGTTCAAGTTGATTAGATACTTCAAGTGTTCTAAGATGAGGTAGAGCTTTAGTAACATGTTCAAAGAAAATACTTTCGAACGGTTTAACATCATCGAATAGTAATAACACGGTAACCATTGAGAACGTGTTTTTGGTATTGAAGAGTGAAAATCGATTTGAAATAAAGTCAAGACGAGTACCGATAAATGGAAGTGAATAGATTTGACATTGACCATAATGATTATTGAAATGGTCGAGTACACAATCCACAGCTTGTTGTTGTTGTTTGACAAAACTTTGACGAATAGTTTCAATTTCTATAGGAGGAGCATCTTTTAATATTGAACGAATGTGAAAGTTAAATTGACGTAAATAAGGCATATATGAAACAATATCTTTGTCTATATCAAATCCATCAATAAAATGATTCGGTCTATTTCCATTTGCACCAACAGCTAGTAATAATGTTAAATCTTCAACATTTGACAAACGTTGTAAAAGTGGAGGAATACATTCTTCATAGGAATGAATATTGCGATAGATTGCCATAGTCAATATTTTTAAGTTAGGGCAGGATATCTAAATAAGTAAATTTAAATGAAATTTCAAATTGAGAAACAATACATACCAATACCATTCTAGACATAATATCAACATCACCTATAACAATTTGTACAATGCTTACAGAGAATGAATAAAGTTGTACTCCTAATTGACTCAATAAACGAATACAATGATCGAATCGACATAATGTTATGCGGATATGAGTCAATTGAGATGAATGAGCAAAGAGCAATCCATCATCTTTGAGTGCATCTGGTAACATACAGTCATCATCAAGTTCGAATGAGGTAATAGAACGCATCAGTGGTGAACAACGCAAAACAGATAAGATGCGACTACCTTCAGTTTTATCAAAATAAACTAATTGAGGAACAATTGAAAACAGCGGTACACAGCGTATCGGATTGTTGATGTCATTACCTAAAATATGTGAAGATTAATATTAGAAAAAAAGAAATCATTGATCTTGTTTTGTACTATATGATTAGATTCAAGTGATAAAAAAGATTTTTTTATACTTTTTGCAAGCATTATTTTTTGTGGAAAAATTTCCACTACAAAAACTGGATGAAGATGTAAAAATTTTTATATTCATTAATTCACACTGAGGCTCTTTAGAAAAAGAAATGAATTTTCTTCGCATGTGTATCAAATAAGATCGGATTTTCACGATCCTCAAATCATAATTTTTTTTATTATCTTGATACAAAAAAGAACAAAAGTACTTTTATATTTCAAAGATTTGAGAAATCAAAACTTCATGACTTTTACGTCAAAAATAAACGAAAACTGACATCTTTTAATAATGAAACGAACATTAAAATGTATTTCAATTTCATTGGTTAACACCAACATTGTAACCAAGTAAAGGCAATGAATTTAATTCTTAATCAAAATCATGGAATTACTTTGATGAAAATGTCTACTTTAAATAATGAAATTGAAATATATTGATTTTTTCATATTCGTTTTACTATTCAAAATATGCTTTTCTTGTTCTGATTTTGAGTTCTTTCGAAGAATGACGACAAAAACTATAATGAGTAATAAATTACCTAATGTATAAGGAGTGCCTGTTTCAAAGCATCTTTTACCGAGTATTATTTTCAAATGTGTCAAATTCGGAAGAGTTCCATCACAGTTTTCGTTAGCAAAAGTGATAATACGTAATATATGTTGAAGGCTAAGTGTCAGTGATTGAATATTATTGTAAATACGAGGCATGACATGTGAACAAAATCTTTGAATAAGTAGTTCATATGGTGAATCAGGAAAGTCGAAGGTTAAATCGATTGAATTACATTTATCAAGTGCAAGTTGTTCCAAATGATTATTTCCAATACCAATTATAGAACAAAGTAGTTCGGCTCGATATTGTATTTTATTCATAATAGTTAAGACCATCTCATCAGGTAAATCAACTAATTCGATCATATTTTCTACAGAAAAGAAAATATAAAATACATTATATTGCTAAATAAATTCATACTTGTGTTTAATGAATAATTCATTATTGATTTTACAAGTTTATGTCGCTGGTGAATAAATGTGTTCATGTGTATTTATTTGGACATTCTCGTTTGACAGACATTGTCTATATTAGAGCCAATCATCAAAGAACTTTCAAACAATGATGTGTTATTCAGAAGAAAAAAAATGCATGTGTACAATTCAATGAAATTTAAAAAGGAAGTTTTTTTTTCTATCGAACATAATTTGTTAGTTTTAAATATATATTGTAGAAGTGCTATTTAAAAACTACTAGAAATTGTCTTGCAATTGTTACTAATATGTTTATCTCTGTATATTGATTGATAAAAGCGTTCGAAGATTATTCCAAATTGTAGAGATTTCACTCATATGTTTTCATGGATTACCATCATCATTATAGAATTAACTGGCAATTATAGTCCCGTGGCATAACTATATATATATATATATATGAGTGAAGAGCGTGCCAATTGTACCGTTAGGTCTCGCAAAGAAAAATGTCTATAAGTCCAGTTTCACTCAACCGACTTTTATATTTTTTATTTATTTTATAGGTGTAGAGATGATCATTCACTTCTGAAAGAATCAGGTTTCCATCTCTTTTAGTTTATGAGATATCATAGCAACAGTGTAAAATATCTAGCTTCTAACATCACCTGCTGGAAGGAGATCAGTTTTCTTTATTTTATTGCAATATTTTTAAATTATTTTTTTAGCTGGAAATGTAGAGATCGTCAAGCGCTTTCAGAATATGTTATTACTTTTTGCTTTAGACAAAATTTTGTGAATGAAAAGCTATCGACAATGCGCGTTAAGACACTTTCAATTTTTGTGTAGAGCGAGATTGATATCATTGGTATTTCGTTCGAAGAAATTTCATTTGAACAAGTTTGGCTGGGTATCAAAGCGAAATAGGAGAAAAACACTTTGACACGAAAAAAAAGTTTCTCTCATAAACTTCGTTAATAGAAAACTTTTCTGTGAAGCTCAAAAAACTTGTGTTCAAGCTAAATGTCGAGCGAGATTTTCAATTTTTTCATTGCTATAACTCAATGAAAACTAAAGCGCTTGTGACAAAAGTTTGATCCTTTTTTCATCTCATAGAGTAGATAAATATCTAAAAAAAATCAAGCAAAATTCTTTTTCCATTCGAGAAGAAATTCAGTTTTACTAACAAAGTGTAGAGCGACCTTAAAGTCATCGGGATTTCGTTTTAAACAAGTTTTATTTAAACAAACCTCATTGAGTATCAAGAGAAATACTAGCAAAAATTTTTTGACATGTAAAATAGTTTTACTAGCAAAGTGCTGAGTAACTTTAATCGAAGTAATTTATACACTAAGACTGTTGGAGCATATAGAAATTAGCTGTAATATCGTGAATCTCCACCAGAGTGCATGGAAGTGTTGGGAAAATATTATTTTTATACATATTCGACATCACTCTATTAAACACAACAATTACTTTTCTTTATCATTAAGTTTATTTTTTTCGATTTTTTCCCCAAACGGTACAATTGACGTGATCTTCACTCATATATATGTATATGTCAAAAAAATAAGTAAACTGTGTTTACCTTTACTCACTTCAGTCTACTAACATCGAAAAGAAAACATAATTATAAGTGTTGTTTGTCTTATTTTAATTTTTTTTCCGAGTTTTAAATATTTTCTCCTTTTTAAATTATTTATAGTACGGTTTTTAATAGAAAAATATCATGCCATCTGATTAAATAATCAAAGTTTTTCACTCAGAAATACCAAAAAGATCTAATCGTGAGGATTTTTTACTTCATAGGAAACTTTTGCTCATCTTTTCCTTACATGAATAAACGACATTAGGATAAGTGTTCTATTTAGGAATACATAATAACCTCCGTGTGAAAAGCCTTGAGATAACATATATGTTCAGTTTTCGTTCACTTATAGGTGTACCGAGACTATCAAAAGTAGTCAGCTAGAATGAGAATTTCATGTTCTTTCCAAAAATATGTTTAGAACTTTTTTTCTGAATTGAAGATGATTAAGTGAGAGTAAATCTGTGCTGGAAACCAAAAACCAAGTTTGTACAAAGCACTAGATATTTTTGTTTATAAATCTAAATCTTTTCTAATTAACAAAAAAATGCTTCTCTTGTCCATGTTTTAATGTATATTCATATTGATCATAGTCCAGAAAAATACAAAAGACATTCGCAAATTATCTATTAGTTATTTTAATTTGTTATCTCATAGATATATTTTAAATAAATGATGATAAAAATTGTTTTAATTTATTTTCTTTTATCTGAAATTTATTAAATAATATAGTTTTTTTTACAATTTTTTTTAATACATAAAAAAAAGTTTTTAGGGAAGTCCTTATGTTTTCTTTTGAGTGAATGAATGTTGACCGATCTCTGTTGTCCTGCATGTCGCCGTGCTGTATATCGTTGTGCTTCGTGTTGTTGTCCTACATGTGGCTGCGATACATGTTGATTCATTGGCTGTTGATTCACTGGTTGTACCAGAGTTTCTACGTAGTCCTGAAAGTGATTAAAAAATTCATTCGTTATTTCATCGCTCATATATATTGCATATACCTGCATCTCACGATCTTCAGCGATCCATTCAAGATATTCAGCATGTGTACGATTTTCCAAATGTACTTCGGTCATAAATGCTATTTGAAACAAAAGGAGAAAACATTTAATAGAAGTCTAAATTTTCTATATTGCTTACCATTATGCTTTATTATTTCTTTATCATCACCCATCACTAAATTATTGAGCAGCACGTATTTGATTCAGATCGATTAATCACGAAATCGACGAATTTGTATGTTTCTGATCTATAGAGGTTGAATCAAATAATGATTCTTCATTCGAAACATCTAATATTTATATAATCTATAAGAAGAAACAAAGCTCGTCTATTCTATCGTTTTTGTTTTCTATATTTTCTCGTCTGAAAAAAAGAGTTCGAGGATATGTAATGTAATAAAGGAAGATTATGGTGAATCGAAACGAATAGAAAAGAGAAAGAGGAACAAAAAAATAAATAAAGCGTTATTAGACGTTAAATGCCTAGACTCCAGGGGTCATATGCGCTATGGAATCAGTATTTTATTCGATATCACAAAAGTAATAAAGAATTCAAATAGTTAGATTACACTAATGCCTTGATGTGTCTATAAATAGATATGAACATAATAAAATCATATAAGTTTTTGGTATTAAATTAAATAGAATGAAACTACTTTAAATTGAACATCAATTATATACATTGTGTCTATATCAGAGCGCGAAAACAATGATAAAAGTTCGATTCGGTTTAGATTCAGTTAAAAAAAACATATTATATATTTTATATTACTATGGGTTTTTCAACAATATTATCTACTCGTGCTGAGAATTGTTTTTCATTCTTCTCTTGCTTTTATTGAAAATCACTTGAAAATAAACATTATTTTCAATTAATGCATGTCGAATAGAAGATATTGAATAAGTTGATGTTGACGAAAATTATGCACGAGCTAGTGTTGCACAAGAAGAAATGGATGACTAATTATCGTCAACGTTTAACATAGTTACAGTCGAATCCGCTTATAAGAGCGCTGTCGGGAACTCTAAAATAGACTCTTATATGCGGGCCGCTCCTTTATCCGAACTATATGTAAAACAGTGCAAAAATTGATTCCTGTCAACATTTATTAAGTAGTACATAGGCATACATAAATGTACTTGAAGAAATCCGTAATTTTACTTTGAGTACGTTTAATTAAAGCGTTTTTTTCGATTATGTCTTCGATATCATAATATGAATTATACTCTGTATAACTCTCTTCCAAATACTTGCGAATCATCGAAAGATGCATCAGCACATCTTTATGAGAGACACGTAGTATCAGTTCATGAACAATTCGGGCTTCTTTTTCTTCTTCTAAATCGACCATTTCTTCTCGATTTTGTTTCATCGAATCGTAAATTTCGGCATCCTTATCGCAGTCGACGAACGCCTCGAAATCTTCTTCTTGTATGGCTTCGCCAAATTCTGACACATCCAAAACCTTCTACATTTCGTACACGTCACTAATGTCGTCACTAACAAAAAACCCGATTTTTCGAAAACAGTTTTCGATCGTAGCGGGCGAAACGAGAAACCGAGATCGCTTGAGCACATGCAACGCTTTTAAAATATCGACGGATTTCACATAATCGATTACCGAAAGATGAAAGTGAATACGTATAGAAAGTTCATTGTATTGCAAGCTTTCGATACAAACATGTGTCATCATCAGGCAAAGAACAGACAATTCTACAAGTCTTCGAGCAACTATCGAAATTCTTCTTTATGATTCATCGTTCTATTTCGATTCGAGATCCAATCGACGAATCATAGTTGTTAATTCTTCCCTTATGGGATCCATTCAAAAGGTAGTACTTTTGAATGGATGTGGTAGCCGACAAGCTTGTCTACCACAGAGCAGACATCCATTTCAAAAAGCGACATGGCTCTTTTAAGCGGACTTTGTCAGCACACAAAACAATGGAGAAAAAAACGGGAATTTAAAAACGGCTCTTACAGGCGGACCGTTCCGTTATCCGGAGCTCTTATAAGTGGACTCGACAATATAATGATGAAGTTTTAACAAATAAACCAATGAATGAACGTTTACAATATTTACATAAAAAAATTCTTGAACCTATCGAAGGACGAATTATTTTTTCAACTATTAAACCGGGTACAAGTAATCAAGATGTTATTAATGAATTAAATTTAGCTATTGAAGAACGACAAGAAGGTATTGCTGTTAAAGATCCATGGTAAGTTTATAAACCAAATGTTCGAGAAAATGGTGGATGGTATAAGGTACGTATCCTTTTTTGATAATAAACTAAAAAAGAAAGAATTTTTAAGCTTTTCGTTCAATGGAGCAAAGAAGAGCAGAACTGCAATAATAACAAAAAAATCTTTGGAAGATTTTAGAATATTTCGTTTGACATAGATGGTGGTAGGAGAACAATTGTTAATTATATTAGCTTTACTTTGAGCATATGAATAGTAGTAGTGGTGGCTACAATTCATCGGGTTCAAAATTTTTGGACTCTCGTTCTAGCAGCAGGGACGTATCCAGACATTTTCGTTACTTTTAGGCCTCATATATAATATAAAATATGACTAATATCTTTATGCTTTTTACTGATTATTTTTGATGAATGTTTGCTAAAATATTTTACCTGAATACTATTTATGAGGATCACAAAATAGAGAATAATTATGACCATAAAGCGTGTCCCATAGTAATTGAGAATAAATTGTCAACAAAATTTTTCACTTTTTTTCTTGATGCAGGAGGCTAAAATTTTCCATCACTTATATATTACACCAAGACCTTTAATTTTCCAAAGTTACAGCTCTCTATGTAGCATTGATACTGAAATGTAGGGACAAGTTTGAATTACATGAATTGTCATACTTGATTTTTGTGAAATCTTTATTTTTTGACTGGTCATATTTATTAACAGCTGATGAAAACAAAATTTGCAAGACAAGTTTTTTAAAAACCTAAATTATAATAAAACTAGATTTATATGAACATGCTCTTGATTGCTTTCTATGACTGATTGTAATTCGTGAGGTATTTCGTCTATCGTTTTTGAACATGTTTCTTTCTAAAATCTCTTCGATTGTTGTGCATTTTTTTCTTATTGTAACGATGCATAAAATACTTTTATGTGAACATTTTCGTTCAATGCATTCCGCACATTTTTAGTTCTTCATGTATCAGTAAAGTTATCATCGCTATCTACTGATTCTGTATTTTCATTAAATTACTGTACTATGAACCATGCGACCAACACTTCAAATTGTTTTCAGACGATTTAGATTCAATACAAACCATTCACGATCTTTTGTGTGTTCGTAACCCGAGAAAATGTAAGATAAAATTCATTATTAAATCCAAAAGATTTTAGAGATATATGCATTCTTAAATAGTTAAAATAATTCTTAGCCGCTCTCTCGCAATTGACTAATTAGTAAAAATATTACTAAAGTTTAGTACAACAATCCAGGTATGTCAATCTTGTACGCACATTTCAGCACTAATTTTTTCTAGACGGCTGAAGTTTTGAAATATTAAAGATCTTAGTTCGATAGATGATAAATGATAAAAGTTTTAGCCTTCTACATCAAACAAAAGTATGAAAAATGAAGCTGACACTTTGTTCTCAGTTATTATGGTTGTCGGACACTTTATGCAATGTACATATATTTGAGATAAATTATAGAAAAAAAAAACGTCGGTAGAGACACACAGCTAGCGCGAACTTATTAGCACAAATGTTATTTCAAATACATGACTATTGAGAAAATGTTTTTGAAGTTCAAAGAACAACAATCTTTCAAATTGCCAGTGAACACTTTTGTTAACGAAGAGGGGGGGGGGGGGACGGGGAGAACAGTCGACCCAATCCCCCTTCTAAATACGTCACTGTCTAGTAGTGGCACTATAATACTGTGAAGAACATACTACAAAAAAATTCTCTTTATATATGCTGATAGGATAAACAGTGTTCTATATTTTATTCTTCTTTAGATACTATTAGATTACGTAACTATAAGGATTACCATTAATAAGAAAATCGACTTGTTCAATATTTTCAGATGTTGTTCTGTTTATGAGAGGTCTTCTCGTTCATGTTTTGTCTACAAACTCTTCTTGATCATTACGAAACGATTGAGACTGTTGTTTAACTGTTCTAAAAGATGACGTCTGATGTCGCGAAGTATAATATATTTCATTATCAATAACTTTTATTTGAGTGTGAAGTTGAGTGTGGATTTTAATGTGAAAGTGAGGGCTTTCTATATCTCTCTAAAATAGAGTTGAATCGCTTTTGTCAGAGTTCTATTATTATTATGCCATTAATTGAAGAAAATATAGAGCACCGTTTATGTTATCAATATGTGGAAAGCAAACTTTTCCGCGAGCTTTTTACCTGCTATTATAGAGCTACAGGCAATATCGTTGGTATATCGTACATAATATCATTTTAAACAATTTCCCGAACAGCTCGTTTCAGAAATCATTTTTCGCGTTAATGTAAATATGTTTCTAATCAAACTAATTGTGATCTTTTTTTAATCTATTTTTAGATTAAACCAGATTATACAATCGGTAACTTTTTGTGAATATGAATTTCGTAAAATAATACTTTTTTGCTCTCACTAGGTCTTAATGATGAAATTGATTGTTTGATAGTTGGTGATTATTTTGGTAGAGATCGTTTACGTGCTGGTATACTTTCTCATTTTCTTTGTTGTGCTGTTGTCAAACAAGTAAATACAACAAATAATTCTGAATAAAAAAATCCTAATGAGGAAGATGCTACAACATCAACACAATGTAAGCCTGATGTACATGATTATCTTTATTATACATTTTGTAAAATTGGTTCCGGTTATACACATAAAGAATTACTTGATTTTAATAATCGTTTTGCAAATAAATGGAAACCATGGACAAAAAAAA